CAGAGGTACATGTGCAGGATGTGTAGTTTTGTTACATAGGTCAACTTGTGCCATGGTGATTTGCTGCACAGACTATCCCATCACCTAGGTATTAAGCCCAGCATCCATTAGCTATTCTTCCTGATGCTCTACCGCCTACCACACCTTCCTCCGACAGACCCGACTGTGTGTTGTTCCCCTCCATGTGTCCAGGTGTTCTCATCACTCAGCTCCCACTTATAAGTGAGAATAGATGGCATTTGGTTTTCTGTTCCTTCATTTGTTTGTTGAGGATAATGTCTTCCAACTCCGTCCATGTCCCTGCAAAGGACATGATCTCATTCCTTTTAATGGCTACATGGTGTATATGTACCACATTTTCCTTATCCAGGCTATCATTGTTGGGTGCTTAGGTTGATTCCATGTCTTTTCTATTGTGAATAGTGCTGCAATGAATATACTCATGCATGTATCTTTGTCATAGAATGATTTAAATTCCTTTGAGCATATACCCAGTAACAAGACAGCTGGATCAAATGGTATTTCTATCTCTAGATACTTGAGGAATTGTCACACTGTCTTCCACAATGGTTAAACTAACTTACACTCCACCAACAGTGTAAAAGTGACGTTAAACTATACCCTACAACAAATGGACTTAACAGATATTTACAGAATATTCTACCCAACCACTGCAGAATATACATTCTATTCACAGAACATGAAACATTCTCCAAGATAGACCATATGATAGGCCACAGAACAAGTCTCAGTAAATTTAAGAAAATCAAAATCATATAAAATTCTCTCTCAGACCACAGTGGAATAAAACTGGAAATCTACTACAAAAGGAAGGCTCAAAACCACAAAAATACATGGAAATTAAATAACCTGCTTCTGAATGATCATTGGGTCAACAATGAAGTCAAGATGGAAATTAAAACATTTTTTGAACTGAACAATAATAGCGATATAACCTAGCCCCCTCACCTGGGCCGTTGTTCCTTGCTCTCTGTTTCTGTTTCTGCTCCCTCCTTTTCCCTTCCTTTCTCTCTCTCTTTCTCCTTCTCTCTCTCTTTTCTTCCCCCGAGCCCTTTTCTCTCCCTCCCATTTTCTCTCTGCCTGTCCTTTCTCTCTCTATTGTTTTTTCTTTTCGCTGT